TTGAAGAAAACTTTTTATGGAATATATCTGTTATTTACGTTTGGAGAAGAAAATTCTTCAAATAAAAGTTACTTCTAATATAATTATCTATAATTTTTGTTCTGTACAAAATTTTCCTAAAATGGTCCGTATTCGAGAAATTTGACAAAATGTAAAAAAAATATTTTTTTATAAAAATTGTTCAAATAAAAGTTGTTTGTAATATAATTCTCTATAATTTTTATTTTATACATAATTTCTCTAAAATGGACCGTATTCGAGATATTTGAGAAAATGTGTAAATTTCGAATTTTGAAGAAAACTTTTTATGGAATATATCTGTTATTTACGTTTGGAGAAGAAAATTCTTCAAATAAAAGTTACTTCTAATATAATTATCTATAATTTTTGTTCTGTACAAAATTTTCCTAAAATGGTCCGTATTCGAGAAATTTGACAAAATGTAAAAAAAATATTTTTTTATAAAAATTGTTCAAATAAAAGTTGTTTGTAATATAATTCTCTATAATTTTTATTTTATACATAATTTCTCTAAAATGGACCGTATTCGAGATATTTGAGAAAATGTGTAAATTTCGAATTTTGAAGAAAACTTTTTATGGAATATATCTGTTATTTACGTTTGGAGAAGAAAATTCTTCAAATAAAAGTTACTTCTAATATAATTATCTATAATTTTTGTTCTGTACAAAATTTTCCTAAAATGGTCCGTATTCGAGAAATTTGACAAAATGTAAAAAAAATATTTTTTTATAAAAATTGTTCAAATAAAAGTTGTTTGTAATATAATTCTCTATAATTTTTATTCTATACATAATTTCTCTAAAATGGACCGTATTCGAGATATTTGAGAAAATGTGTAAATTTCGAATTTTGAAGAAAACTTTTTATGGAATATATCTGTTATTTACGTTTGGAGAAGAAAATTCTTCAAATAAAAGTTACTTCTAATATAATTATCTATAATTTTTGTTCTGTACAAAATTTTCCTAAAATGGTCCGTATTCGAGAAATTTGACAAAATGTAAAAAAAAAATATTTTTTTATAAAAATTGTTCAAATAAAAGTTGTTTGTAATATAATTCTCTATAATTTTTATTCTATACATAATTTCTCTAAAATGGACCGTATTCGAGATATTTGAGAAAATGTGTAAATTTCGAATTTTGAAGAAAACTTTTTATGGAATATATCTGTTATTTACGTTTGGAGAAGAAATTCTTCAAATAAAAGTTACTTCTAATATAATTATCTATAATTTTTGTTCTATACAAAATTTTCCTAAAATGGTCCGTATTCGAGAAATTTGACAAAATGTAAAAAAAATATTTTTTTTATAAAAATTGTTCAAATAAAAGTTGTTTGTAATATAATTCTCTATAATTTTTATTTTATACATAATTTCTCTAAAATGGACCGTATTCGAGATATTTGAGAAAATGTGTAAATTTCGAATTTTGAAGAAAACTTTTTATGGAATATATCTGTTATTTACGTTTGGAGAAGAAAATTCTTCAAATAAAAGTTACTTCTAATATAATTATCTATAATTTTTGTTCTGTACAAAATTTTCCTAAAATGGTCCGTATTCGAGAAATTTGACAAAATGTAAAAAAAATATTTTTTTATAAAAATTGTTCAAATAAAAAGTTGTTTGTAATATAATTCTCTATAATTTTTATTTTATACATAATTTCTCTAAAATGGACCGTATTCGAGATATTTGAGAAAATGTGTAAATTTAGAATTTTGAAGAAAACTTTTTATGGAATATATCTGTTATTTACGTTTGGAGAAGAAAATTCTTCAAATAAAAGTTACTTCTAATATAATTATCTATAATTTTTGTTCTGTACAAAATTTTCCTAAAATGGTCCGTATTCGAGAAATTTGACAAAATGTAAAAAAAATATTTTTTTAATAAAAATTGTTCAAATAAAAGTTGTTTGTAATATAATTCTCTATAATTTTTATTTTATACATAATTTCTCTAAAATGGACCGTATTCGAGATATTTGAGAAAATGTGTAAATTTTGAATTTTGAAGAAAACTTTTTATGGAATATATCTGTTATTTACGTTTGGAGAAGAAAATTCTTCAAATAAAAGTTACTTCTAATATAATTATCTATAATTTTTGTTCTGTACAAAATTTTCCTAAAATGGTCCGTATTCGAGAAATTTGACAAAATGTAAAAAAAAATATTTTTTTATAAAAATTGTTCAAATAAAAGTTGTTTGTAATATAATTCTCTATAATTTTTATTCGAGATATATTCGAGATATTTGAGAAAATGTGTAAATTTCGAATTTTGAAGAAAACTTTTTATGGAATATATCTGTTATTTACGTTTGGAGAAGAAAATTCTTCAAATAAAAGTTACATCTAATATAATTATCTATAATTTTTGTTCTGTACAAAATTTTCCTAAAATGGTCCGTATTCGAGAAATTTGACAAAATGTAAAAAAAAATATTTTTTTATAAAAATTGTTCAAATAAAAGTTGTTTGTAATATAATTCTCTATAATTTTTATTCTATACATAATTTCTCTAAAATGGACCGTATTCGAGATATTTGAGAAAATGTGTAAATTTCGAATTTTGAAGAAAACTTTTTATGGAATATATCTGTTATTTACGTTTGGAGAAGAAAATTCTTCAAATAAAAGTTACTTCTAATATAATTATCTATAATTTTTGTTCTGTACAAAATTTTCCTAAAATGGTCCGTATTCGAGAAATTTGACAAAATGTAAAAAAAATATTTTTTTATAAAAATTGTTCAAATAAAAGTTGTTTGTAATATAATTCTCTATAATTTTTATTTTATACATAATTTCTCTAAAATGGACCGTATTCGAGATATTTGAGAAAATGTGTAAATTTTGAATTTTGAAGAAAACTTTTTATGGAATATATCTGTTATTTACGTTTGGAGAAGAAAATTCTTCAAATAAAAGTTACTTCTAATATAATTATCTATAATTTTTGTTCTGTACAAAATTTTCCTAAAATGGTCCGTATTCGAGAAATTTGACAAAATGTAAAAAAAAATATTTTTTTATAAAAATTGTTCAAATAAAAGTTGTTTGTAATATAATTCTCTATAATTTTTATTCGAGATATATTCGAGATATTTGAGAAAATGTGTAAATTTCGAATTTTGAAGAAAACTTTTTATGGAATATATCTGTTATTTACGTTTGGAGAAGAAAATTCTTCAAATAAAAGTTACATCTAATATAATTATCTATAATTTTTGTTCTGTACAAAATTTTCCTAAAATGGTCCGTATTCGAGAAATTTGACAAAATGTAAAAAAAAATATTTTTTTATAAAAATTGTTCAAATAAAAGTTGTTTGTAATATAATTCTCTATAATTTTTATTCTATACATAATTTCTCTAAAATGGACCGTATTCGAGATATTTGAGAAAATGTGTAAATTTCGAATTTTGAAGAAAACTTTTTATGGAATATATCTGTTATTTACGTTTGGAGAAGAAAATTCTTCAAATAAAAGTTACTTCTAATATAATTATCTATAATTTTTGTTCTGTACAAAATTTTCCTAAAATGGTCCGTATTCGAGAAATTTGACAAAATGTAAAAAAAAAATATTTTTTTATAAAAATTGTTCAAATAAAAGTTGTTTGTAATATAATTCTCTATAATTTTTATTCTATACATAATTTCTCTAAAATGGACCGTATTCGAGATATTTGAGAAAATGTGTAAATTTCGAATTTTGAAGAAAACTTTTTATGGAATATATCTGTTATTTACGTTTGGAGAAGAAAATTCTTCAAATAAAAGTTACTTCTAATATAATTATCTATAATTTTTGTTCTGTACAAAATTTTCCTAAAATGGTCCGTATTCGAGAAATTTGACAAAATGTAAAAAAAAATATTTTTTTATAAAAATTGTTCAAATAAAAGTTGTTTTGTAATATAATTCTCTATAATTTTTATTCTATACATAATTTCTCTAAAATGGACCGTATTCGAGATATTTGAGAAAATGTGTAAATTTCGAATTTTGAAGAAAACTTTTTATGGAATATATCTGTTATTTACGTTTGGAGAAGAAAATTCTTCAAATAAAAGTTACTTCTAATATAATTATCTATAATTTTTGTTCTGTACAAAATTTTCCTAAAATGGTCCGTATTCGAGAAATTTGACAAAATGTAAAAAAAAATATTTTTTTATAAAAATTGTTCAAATAAAAGTTGTTTGTAATATAATTCTCTATAATTTTTATTCTATACATAATTTCTCTAAAATGGACCGTATTCGAGATATTTGAGAAAATGTGTAAATTTCGAATTTTGAAGAAAACTTTATGGAATATATCTGTTATTTATGTTTGGAGAAGAAAATTGTTCAAATAAAAGTTACTTCTAATATTATTATCTATAATTTTTGTGTTATGTCAAAATTTCCTGAAATAGTCCGTATTCGAGAAATTTGACAAAATGTGCAAAATTCTGATTTTTATGAAAATTGTTGAACTAAAAATTGTTTGCGATATCGATCTCTATAATTTTTGTTTATACATGATTTTTCTAAAATGGACCGTAATGGAAAAGTGCTAAATTTAAATTTTCAGTATTTTCGTTTTCAATGAATATCTATAGAAAAATGTTTCGAGGTAAATGTATGTGGACAATGTATATATTTAGTTTATCCTCTAAACATTTATAGAGTTGCTGCAATAGGTTGTACAAAATAACCGAAAAAAGCCCACAATAACTAGATAGGAAAGTCATGTTTTGGGCACATCAGATTTTTATGTTTAGTGCATGTGCGAGTCGTTTTTTTACATCAAAAATCAACTCAATTTTTTATTTCTTTCCAAATAACTGTTAGATATTAAAACACCTGAAGTTCGATAAAAAGGTAAGATATAATCTGTATATATTTCAGCTTCTAGCTCTAAAACGTATTTTGGGTGACTAGCAAACCGAACAGTTAATATAAAATTTTTCTCACCTGTAAGGCAGTTCTTTCGTATGCACCAACAAATGCTGAATTAAATAACTCCTCTTTTTGAAAACTCTACCACATTTATCGCACGTAAACTGGTCATTTTTTAAATGATTATCGACATGAATCAAATATGCAGCAGCAGTAAAACTTTCCGGACAAAACGGACATTTATGAAACATTTGTTTCTCGTTTACCAGACTAACGGTGGAATTAGGAACAGCATAAAACTTAACGTTTTTAGGTAACTTAGGACCGCTGAAATATCTTTCCAAGCCTTTATGTGTATGCATATGTGGTCGAAATTGAGAAAGTTTTAATTCTTTTAAACAAATTGGGCATTTATGTGGTTTTTTCTTGTTTTTTATCTGGTTTTCTGAATCACAAATAGAATCGCCTTTGAACTTTTCAGTAGTTTGGTTATTTTCTAAATTTTCTACTTCATAATATTCTGGCGGATCTAGTTTTTGGATAGCTTCATCAACTTTTACATCCTCTTCCGTAGTTTCGAATTTCAATGTTACATCTTCTGTTGAAGATATTTCAGAACAAGCATCGTCATTATTTTCTGCATCCTCTGTTTGTTCATTTATTTTAAGGGTGTATATTTTTAAAATTTCACAAGACTTCGAGTAATTGTATCTAAATATTGTGAATAGTTTCAATTGTTCGACACATTTTAGGCAAATTTTATTTGGAAGATGGTCGTCTCCAATTGTAATCTAAAAATAATTAAATTATGCAATTTTATCGGTCCCAGCAAACATTTTCTATAACATTAGTTATAACTCGACTTTGTTAAAGACGAATTTACTTATTGAGGTAATTATTACGTAAAATTGACTAGAAAAATATACCTCTAATGTAAATTTACCAAACGGTTTTAATTTATATTTAAATTTACGTAAATTATACCAAGAAATCGACCTTTTACACAAATCTGCTTAAAAGTAACTTTAACCATATCAGCAAGGGAAAAACTACTAAAAAAAATAACCAACAATTACTTCAAAGTTAAATTTCCTTTGTAGTAAAATTAGGTGCCATATTTAGGTAATATCTACATGTTTGGCAACTAAAAATCGACTTTGTAGTAGAATATCCAACTAGGTAGATTTGGTTAAAAATTCTACGTAATTTTATGCCTCCATAGTAACCTATTTGGCCGCTTTTATTTACTCTCCTTTAAAGTAATATTAGGTCGAGATCGTAGCAAAATTCTACCTGTTTATTTACCTAATTTCAACCAAATAGTCGAATACTCATTTAGTTGACCTATAAGTCATCTTGAAGAAATATTTATTAACTTTGTTGTAGCAATTACCTGAAAAATGTACCACAAAGTAAATTCGACTAAAAACCACCAATTTAAAAAGAGTCATACATGACTTATTTGTAAAATTTATATTATTTAGGTTATTTTAACAATTAGGTTGTTCAGTTACTGTCTTCGTCATTATTCTTAAGAATTTCGGTCATTTTAAAAAAACCATTACAGTCGTATCTTAATTTACATGTGGTGTAGATAGAGCTTTAAATGAGTGCGAAAAATAATTAATCAAATGAGTTCGAAAAATAATAAATCATATCGTTATACTTCCGATTTTTATCGTAAAGTGAAACGTCTAAAATATCAAGTGCAGAACAACGTGACCTAAATATGTTATATTTACCTATAGGTAAATTTTTTATAAAACCTATAAGTTATTATTTCTTTAAATAGGTAAAGTTAACTAATATGTCGTGAAATTAAAGTTAATTCAACTTAGTAAAAAGGTATTTGTAAAATACGTAGATTTCCTTAGTCATAATAACTTTTAGGTCGAATTCGCAGAATACGCCATATTTTCTTAACGTAATTGAAGTACGATTCCAAATTTAAAATTTTTAATATGACCATAACTAAAACATACGAATGAAAATACCGAAAAACGAAACATTATTGATTTTCTAGTGATACACAACAAACGTAACATAGTTTTAGCTCATATTATTATTATTTTTTTACACGATCATATTTTTTTCTTATATTTTTTTAATTAGAGAGTATTTTGGAAGGGCATTATTATTTTTCTAAGTAGAACTGTTAATATGCACGACAAAATTTTCTTCGCATTAATTTCAACAAGCGTGAACTGTATATTCACCGCAATTACATTACATATATTTTTGTCACCGACATTTATTTCTTTTCAATCTTTCATGTGAATTAGGTATATGTTTTAGTTGTGTTCTTACAATATTTCTACTTATATATAGATAAAAATACCAAATAAGTATAAAATTTCTTTTCGTACGCTTGGAGGCATACGTCATCTGCAAATATTTTGGTAGTTTCTACCTAAACTTAGTTAAATCAACGTCGAATTAACGTTATACCCCAGTATAAGTAATAATACAGTAGCGACAGTTCATTGTTTATAAGGGTTCCATATTTTTCTGCGCATGTCCGTAAATAAGCGGCAAATACGTCAAACTGGCATATGTGAATTGTCAATGGATCAATGGTAGTTGACTGTTTTGATTATGATTGGTTTTAATCTTAGATTATACAAACCTTAGATGGAACATAAGACACTGCGCATAATCCCATTTCAAAATGATTCACACCCACCAATCACTGTTGAGAACATCACATGTCAGACCGTTGTCCATCCAAACTTAATGTGTCAACGAGAATTAATTTGGTATTTTAGTGACTTAAATTTTGGAAATTAACGTTGAAAATGCCAAGATGTGTTGTAAAAAGCTTTATTTATAATAAACCTGCGAAATGTGACGGAGATAAAAGAAACTTATATTTATTTCGGTGAGATATTTAATTTTTAAAGATTCTGTCGACGTCCATATTTGTTGATTTGAAAATAAACAGAATCGGACTTGGTCATTGGTACATGTTATAAGTAGCAAATAAAGGTTATTATTATAAACTGTTTACTATTTCTTGTTTCATAGGGAATCTTTTTTTAGGAAGTGAAAAGAGAAACATACAATCAAATACAAAAATATCAATTTCATTGCCAATGTTTTACTTTATATTTATTATATATTTATTCAACTTTATATTGGTTTATTTATAATTAAAATACACCTTAAACTTTAATAAGATTTATTACTTTTTATAATGGGATGTCTTCTTCTTCTGTTAGTTTTTTGGCCTCCATCCTTAAGGTATTTAGCCAGAGCAGGTAATTTAGCTTATATATTACGGGAATATTCATTAAAGAACGTCTGGAATTTTCCATCTTCCCATTGAAAAATCCATGTTCACTCTTTTCCATTGATTATACTTATTTAAAAACATCAGGGGCTGACATTCTACTAATTGGACCATAAACTTGAGAACGTGTTCTCTATCATATTAATTTAATTTATTAGCTATATTCACTTTATATCATTAACATACAAAATCAAAAATTTTAACGCACAAATACTAAACACATAAGACAATATTCACTTCTCGATGACCGATTTTGTTAAAGATTTTTCCGGAAACATACAAACTTGACTTCCAATTCTGAGACCGCCATCTCGATGTTGATACCACGGTGTCAGAATCGGAAGTCCCTAATGGGATGTCTGCTGGCACGCTTCATGCATGTTCGACATACGACACTGTTGATGCCAACCTACAAACATGACTACCAACATATAAAATATAACAACTAATCATAGAACAGCCAATTTATTCGATTCAAACTTCACAACTGGTTTCAATAGTTTTCTCAAAACTATTTATTTAGTAATTATCTATAACAGTGTTACTCAAAGTGTAAAGCCAAAGTTTCCGCGAAGAAAATAATCACAATAAAAAAAACAGTACTATCGCCACAAAATGGAGGGACCTGGCTTGACGACCGTTTTTTGGGAAGTAATTTTTTTAAGTCACTAACAGGAAGGAGGATATGATTTTGCTTTAGGACTTTTTTTTAATTAATTTTTTATGGGTGAAATGGATTTGGGATAATTTTTGCAAGGAATCTTTGGAATAAATCAAAAATAAATGATGCTCTTGTGCATTTTCAGCCTGAGTTGCCGATTAAATTATTCGTAGATGCATCAAATGTGGGAATAAGGGCCATGATATGTCATGATTTAAAAAAAAAAAATATTGAAAAATGTATAGCTTCTGCTTCGCGTACCTTATCAAAGTTCGAACAAAAATATTCCCAAATTGAAAGAGAGGTCCTTGCAATAATTTTTGGCTTAAATAAATTTAATGAATATTTATATGGACATTTGCATAAAGTAGAACATTATGCAACTGATTACGAAAAGTTGATTATGTCACCAGTTACGAAATGAAAATAAATAAAACTGCCTCTTTTTTGGTTTCTAAGTTGAAAAATCGAAAAATCGTGAAATCGAGAAATCGAAAAATCGAGTAATCGAAAAATCTAAAAATAAAAAATAGAAAAATCCAAAAAACGAAAAATCAAAAAAACCAAATATCGAAAAGAGGCAATGAATAGTGACATTTAACATTTGAAAATATGACATTACGTTTAAAAACAAAAAAGAAAACAAAAAAAGAAAAGCTGTAAATTGCGTTTAATTTTTAAAATAACACCGTTATTGAAAACTGCCCAGAAATGTTGGGGGTAAAATTTTGACGTACTTCTTTAAGGATAATGGGTAAAAATGTTTTTTTTTTCAAATTTCTCGCGGGTAATGTCAAAAATTAGATCGGCAACACTGCACATGTCCCTTATTTTTATTATTACTATTGAAAAAAAAACGTCGTAGGGCAATCAAATACAACAATTTTCTAAAATATTTGATTGGAAGTACCTACACAAGAATGATGGTGAATCATTTTTCAACACAATTTTATAAATAATCAAGTCAAAATTAGAAAAAATCTTGTATATAAACACGTTACGAAATGCCGTTTTGTGTAAGTCGTTCATGTTGCGGGAACTCGCTCCGCTCGTTTTGCAAATATTTACTCGTTACACAAAATAAGGCATTTCGTAACTGGTTACATAAATAACTATTAATTGACTTTCTAATATTTTAATTCATTGAACGGTATTTTCCGTAAATAGTTAAATCATAAATAATTACTAGGATATAAGTACCAAAACATTTTTTTCTCTTAGAACAGTAGGCCTATGTCAAATAAACTTAAAATATTATAACGAACGAAAAGGTAACCCATTTCTAATAAAATTTAGTTATTTATTTTATTTTGGTGTGATCGTAGAAAAAATCTTGTGTGTAATTCGAGCAAAAAGTACTTATAAACTTTTACTTAGGGTCGATTTCACCGTTTTGTTAAACGAAGATTAAAATGACATTTTTATATTAACAAAACCGAAGTTTAAATTACTAAATGGAGTTTAAAATGACATTTTTACATTAACAATGTCATTTTAATCTTCGTTTAATAATTTAAACTTCGTTTAACACAACGGTCGAATCGGCCCTTAGCTAGTTATATATTGATAAAGTGTTATTGCCCTCGTCATACATGAATCGTGCTAACAAATAAAGTCAAACAAACGTCTCATAATTTTTCATCTTTTAATTACCCACCAAAATTAGGTACTACAATACAAATATTTAAGTCCGGCCCAGAACATCTCCCTACTCCTTCCACCCAGTTTTTCGGTTTTGGCAAAATTCGCGCAGCGAGAAATGCTTCCTATGTTACCTCTACCCTTTCTAACCTCTTTGGTTTTAATGCACATTTTAATACATTTTTATCATATTTAGATTT